AGGGAAAGATTTTGAGATTATCTTAGGGTATGATAAGTTTAGGTTGTCTCTACATCATCTAAACGATGATATTTAAAAGGTGGGTGATTAAGGCTTTTGACAGAATAAGGCACTGGAGTCCAAGAAAAAGTTATTAGGAGATATAAATGAGCTAGGGGATTTTATTGAGGCCAATTAAAATTAAATATTGAATATATATAGAGAGAAGGAGTTAATGGTAGCTTGCTAGGAAGGAGGACACTTTTTTAAAAAGAATTATATAATTTTATTTTATTCATTATTATTTTTTAATTTGACCAGAGAGAGACAGAGAGAGAATGAAAGGGAAAGCGAGAAAGCAAGCCACCAGGTCCAGGAAGGATCATTTCTGTCTGGGTATTCAGAAAAAATTGAGTTGCTGATGGTATTGGAACTGGGTCCAGAATGATAGCTAGGATTTCATTAGGAGAAATGTGGTGCACATAGAGAGAAGGAATTGCTGGCAAAGGAAGATTGAGGTGTTTTTTGTTTGTGTGTTTGTTTTTTTACCTTGGTGACTAATAACGGTGTATTATTAAGAGAGATAGCAAAGTTAAGTGGAAGGCATGGGAGGAGGCAGAAAGATAAGTACTGATTACAAATATTCGTGGTAGCAGTGACACTGATTTGTTGGAAATGTTTGTCTTGGGAAGAGAGTGCTACTGTCGGGGCTTTGGATTTAGATTTGGAATTTCCGGTACCTAAGAAGAGGGGAGAGGAGTTGAGAAATTCTTACGTTTCTGGGAAGAGACTGGAAGCAGAAAGGTCAAAAAAATATACAGATGGAGAAAGGTCCTTGAGAAGTAGATAGTTTCATTAGCGTCACATGCTTTTATTTATTTATTTTTTTTTGGAGAGGTTTTTGCTATAGGGGGCGTGTGCTCGCCAGACAGAGAGAGACATAGAGACAGAAAGCGAGAAAGCACCTCCCAGGGGGGATGGTCACGCCTCAATCCCTTCTCCTCCATTCTCCTCTCGGGATCTTGGGCACGCACGCACACGCTCGCGGCGTGAGTTTTAAGCCACCGGGTCCAGGATGCGAACCGCGGTCGACTACGTGGGAGTCCAGCAACATAGCCATTACGCTAACTGCTGGTTCCCAGTGTCACATGCTTTAAGAAAGTCAAGGAACATGAGTCCTGAGAAAAGGATTTAGTAACTTAAGAAGTCATTGTAAAACTTGAAGAAAACAGAATCCTGACAGTGTTTGGTTTTACAAGGGTTTTATAAATGAGTTGATGATAAGGGGTTGGGTACTTAATCTATTGTAGTTTGGTTTCATAAAAGAGGAGAAAGACGACCATTGTTGGGGTAATAGAGTTGAGGGAAAGATTGTTGTCATTTGTTTTTGTTTTCAAGGCCAAGATGCCTGTGGGGAAACTAGGAAAACTAGGTGAAAGTTTTAATGCTTAGGCCTATTAAGGTGCTGTAGCAAAATAAGGTATACTAGGCAATTTATAAGTAACAAAGAGTTACTTCTCACTGTTCTGGGGCCTGGGAAGTCTCAGATCAGGCAGACTCAGTGTCTAGCGAGAGCCTGCTTTCTGATGCATGGATGCACAGACAGCACCTTCTTGGTCCTGGCAGGATGGAAGGAAACAAGGCAGCCTTCTAGGGCCTCTTTTGTAAGGTCATTAGTGCCAGTTATGAGGGCTTTATCTTCATGACCTAATCTCCTCCCAAAAAGTGCTACCTCCTAATATCGTCACTTTGGGGTCCAGGATTTCAAGATTAGAATTTGGGAAGAACGCATTCAAATCATAGCATTAATTAGGAAAGAGGAGATACTGGCCTGATACTGAAGGAAAAGGAGTATGGGCAGACATTTTAAGAAACCAGAGAACACAATGGAGTGGGGTAGGTAAGGCGTGTTAGAATTTATGCTCTGAATTACCATTTCTCAGTAAACTCTTGAAGAATAAGGAAGATTGGAATAAAATTATAGATTCAAAAGAGAATAATATATTTTGGAAGACACATTGTATAGAATGAGACAAAAGTCATGTATTAAGACTTTACAGAGGAGGAAAGGCTGAAGTGAGATCAGGTTTATAGCCCACAGCTTTGTAGATCAATGCTTTTTGTAGATCACTGGTGTTTTCAAACTGATGTAGAAGACTTCTTGAACCAAAGTCCAATGGATTACCCTCTTTGGGTGTAGAGGTTGGAGGTAGGGGGATTGTTCATTTAGGAGTTTGAAGAAACTGAATTTAGTCCAAGTACTCTGGGATGTTTTTAACATTTGTATGCCAAGTACTGTAAGTTATTTCTGCAATGTATGTTATCTTGTTCTCATCACAGCTACATGATATCACTATTAATCTTTTTTTTTTTTTTTTTTTTTTTGAGGAAGTTTTTCACTGTAGGGCGCGCGCTTGCCAGAGAGAC